GTTGGAGTCACCATGAAACAATTTTAATAAATTAATGTCTTAAGACATATATCACAACGCACAGTTTTTATTATCCTAATTTGAATAACACTACCACCTCAAAATTTCGCACTGTAACTATTTTGTTCAGTCCCCAAGTTATGAGACTTCACTTGTTATAAAAATTACGACGACGACCTCTGTTACTTAAATCCATCCATCCAAGTACCCATCAGAAAGTTTTGTGATAATTCAAAGCTTTTATTTCGAAAAAGAATTTGCGTACACGACCCGAGTGAGTATGGACTGTCCAAAGAATTCAGTATAGTTTTGTTATGTGTTCAACATCCAGTACCACCGTGTAGTCTGGTATAAGCTCACCAAAGTATTCGTCCTGATGATGGAGGCAGCGAAGACCTCCGAAACTCTGGTAAACTCCCTGACAGGATTCTTAGCTGAACAGTTACTAAGTTCTTTGACTAAATCCCTGTTCTTATAAAACCCAAAATTTTATCACCATCTATTCAAGTTCGTGCCACTGGACTATTTCCTGAGCCACTTTATGCCAGTTCATGGCCTCAGAATTAACTTCCGTGAGATCCATTTTAATATTATCCAATTCTGAGACTCGGTAAGACTCAGCCTCGCCCTAAACAAAATGTCGGCTACCTGGGAAATGTCCTGCTGATGTAATCTGTCCGTCTGTTTGTTTGTTTTCCTCAGGCGCCTACGACAACTTTCGCTCTTATCTCCCGGCAGACCGCGAGATGTTTGTCGAGGAACACAGACTCCGGGGTCTGCTTTATCAGCCTCGTTACCTGCGTCCGGGCTCATTTCTCAAAATGTTATTTGTCGATCGTGTGGCAGGGATCGCTCAGGAAGACAAACACAATAACCTAACCATCAGTGACGCTTCTAAATATGCCATCGTACGCTTCCTGTCTCCTCCGACAGATGCCAGCAGACGTGACCACAGTTTCGTAACATTTTATCAAAAATTCTAACATCCTTAGTCATTGCTTCAACCAAAATTTGCTCCGACCAGCGTTGACGGAAATCAGCATTTAATTAATGTTTTCCGTCAGATTGCGTTGCGTGAGCGTCGCCTTCAAAGTTCTGAGCGTGTGGGGCCGCAAGCTAATCGCGTAAGTACCCCCTGACGTGTCCACTAAACGCTAAACAGTGACGAACTTATAAATCTTTACTCCTCCCCCAGTATTGTCAGGGCGATTAAGTCGAGAAGAATGAGATGGGCAGGGCATGTAGCGCGCATGGATGGGACCAGAGGTGTGCACCGGGTGTTGGTTGGCAAGCCTGAGGGGAAGAGACCTCTGGGGAGACCAAGACGTAAATGGAGGATAATCTCAGGCGGGATCTATGGGAGATAGGAGTTGAAGGAGACTGGATTTTGTTGGCCCAGGACAGGATCCGGTGGAGGGCTTTGGTTAATTCGGTGATGAACCTTCGGGTTCCCTAAGCCATCTGGTTGGTTGGGTCCACTATTTGGGAAGCCTGAGGGGA